GCGATAAACAGCTCATTTCGACAAATTCATACATTAATGTAAATATATAAATATAGTAACGAAAATAATAATAAATTGGATTACACGTCGCCGACTACAGCACTTTCGCGTCTATATTTCATGTATAAAAACATTTATCAAAAAAAAAAAAAAAAAAAATCAGCTGTTTATTTCTTTTTCGGAACAAAAAAATAAATAAAGAATTGTTGATGTCCCTTCGGATAAAATGTTCAACGGTTAAATATATTACAGAATCATATAATTACTTATTCTTAGATAAGACGAAAAAATTAGTAAAAATAAAAACATTTTTTTTACTTCATATTTATTCATATAATAATTAATAATTTAAGAAGTATTATGCCAAGACAACAATACTTTATTATATAGAGTAATGATCGAAAAAAGTAAATAAGTATTTTTCAATGGTAAATTTAATTATTTATATATATGTATGTGTGTGTGTGTTACACAATAAAGATATTTCAGAGATCTCGAGAACAAGGTCTCACGTTTCGACCTCAGCTATAGAAGATTTAGAGATCTTCAATCGTGTTTTCATGTATGAAACGTGCGTAAAATACTTATTATTGCTTATTTATGTACACATGTACGCAAAAATATATATCTTGTGTATTAGTTAATACTATATATACTATATATACTACACATATATGCAATGCAATTTTGCCTACAATTTGCATTGTGTGCCACACATCGATTATCGATTACACGGTCTGTTACCGTTCATAATTTTGACCTAGACCCATATAAATCTCGTAGGGATAAGAGAAATACACAGCACTCATACAGGGGTGTATTTGAAGTACCTATAGGGAAGCATATGATACGTTTTACAATGTAACCTCAATAGATACGATATTTTATATTATTAATTTTTATCCGATCAAAAATGTGTCCGTATGTAAAAAGATAATGGAAATCTATGTGAGATAAATATTTGGAAAAAAATAATCAAAATAATCACCACTCTAAAAGGTTTTCGTCGTCTAAAACAAATATTAAATAGATGATAATATAAATTGCAGTCGTGAAAATTGTTTTTAATTAGACATTATCTACCTGACCTACCGTCGTCTTTGCGAAATATATTTTCGACATAGACTACCAACGAACAATTGTTCGATGTTTTTGATGGAATGAATGTACGTAATAACTCGTTATGTAGTATATTGTATCCCATGCGAATGTAAAAATTTAAAAAAAATATAAGTAAAAGTACGTTTCGTGTCGGCGTATATACATTTTATATTGTAGTTATAAAATACCTACATTTGCACACGCTACAGTAGGCACAGGACGTGCAATAACCGGCAGATTAATATAGATCACATGTGCAAATTGCATTTGGCACGGCTGCCGTACCTACAGGTAATTAGTGCGCGTGCAACGATAATAATCCAAACGGATTCGTGTGAATATATTATAATACACCACGACGGTGGCGTTTATTTAATCGGTTTCCATTATTTTATATCGAAACGTTTACCCAAATGTGTATATGGTGTGTATATGGTACACTGCACGGTAAACAATGCGATTACTATTGTTATTTTCTATTGATACGTACACATAAACGCTTAACGTATATTATAAATGCGCCGTGTGCAGTGGCATCAAGGGTGTGCCAGGGCCCACCTTAAAAATTCTTGTCTCTCCGTGGCCCACCCCGTATGATTATTAATGCATGTTTACAAATGATTATTTAAGTAAGTTCAAATAATAGAACGTAAAATTAATTAAATCGATAAAGGGATTAATCTCCCTTGCGCAAATGCCCGTCACTACTATTGTTTTTGTATACATCGAGTAAATATTTCAACCATTGCTAAAAAATAACAGCCTCCCCTAATAAATTTTAGCTTTAGCCCGGTCCACTTGGTATTGAAAGTCTGGTACTGCCATTAGTCGTGTATATCTTACATCGGGGTGATTCTGACGACAAAGAGCTTAAAGTCCATACACGTACCTCATGGATTATTAACGGTACGTGGTTATACATATTTATTAACATTTTATGATATAATTTTGAAAACATCATTTTTTTTTTCTCTTCTAATCGACCAGTGCAGTATCCCTTGACCCGAGTTTACTGCGGTTGCGAAAATAATATCAATAATTATCAATTAACTAACCGCTGCAGTTGAATGGCCTTCACGTAAGTAGGTAAATATTTTTATTCAAATACTTATAATTTATTTGCTCCAGTGTCCCAATACGTGAACGATGTATTTATAATGACGGCGGTGATAATAATAATAATAAGTTACGTATGCTTATCGGTTGTCGCGCAGTAATCCGCTGTCTTCAAAAATTAATAATATTCGTTGCGACCCCGAGAACGCACACGTCGAAACACGTACGCTGTTCGACCTTGCAGAGAAATGTGGAATGCATATCGTACAGGTACAAAGGTACACAATACAAATAATAATAATAACATATACACACGTAGAGTATATAATCCTTTTTTTTCGGGTTGACGTATGTATTTTAATAAAAAGTTTTTTTCGTCGAGAGGCATACCGCGGTTATATGCACGTGTGACCCCACGCTATAGGTAAAGCAAGATAGCTTTATTGTGACTGAATTCGTTTTATTGCGACGAAATAAAAATAAAATATTCATGTTTTATGAAAAACCTGCACACTGATTATGCGTATAGCCAAAAAACATTTTTTGTTTCAAGTCATAACTGATTTTGTTCTATCGGAATAGAACAGCCTCTACTCGACGCATAATTATACGTCAACATTTATTGATTCCAAAATGCAATTTTGTTTTATAAAATATATTACTGTATAAAATAGTGTTTTTTATTTTATTGTATAGTTATTTATTTGTGTTCAATCAGTTACAGTATATTTTTTTGTAATTAATATCAGATTATCAAAGTTCATCGTTTCGAAGTTTTCGAATACAACATTTAGTTGATTTGTTTCAATAAATAAACGTAAAGTAATTTTTTTTGTATTATTTCCATTCAATTCATTGTAAAAGACACCGTAAGAAGGAATGACGACGACAACTTGCGCTCCTCGTCGGGGATAACGATGATTTCACTAGTAATTATGTTTTATCTAAGTGCGCGAACATAATAAATTTTTATTGTGTCTACTTATCGACAGAAAAATCACTAAAAATGATTTAAATTCCTGCGGTGAATTTCGCCTTACCATTGTGCGCGGTCTACCCGAAAGAAAACAAACGCCACGTACATGCAATCTGATTGCGAGGAACGCACACTTGCCGCAGATCAGTGTTGTAAATCACAACATAATATCCACGTGTTTCAACACAACGCATTAGCGCGAGAACGAATGTTTATGAAATTCGTTTGGTCGGACGGAGCACGTCGCGTCCACTACACGTGTGCAAAGTTACGCCTACGAACTCTTGTAATTGATCGCAATCGTAACGCGTATGCGTATCGTGAGTTCAAACAACAATTGTGGTGTTGCCGTGTCGAAAACAATTCGTATTTGGAAATGTCTCGCGGAAGAAAGGAAAAACTTGTTGGCCGGACGATTTCAAACGAACTGTCGACGAATTTCGTGAGGCATATTATCAATTATGGTACAGTACATTCGTAGACGTATCAGGCGGGCGCCACGGCCAGGGTAATTTAGGTTTTTGTCACACCTAGCGTTGAAGTTACTCGAACCGATGGAGTACGAGTAAATTTTTGATTACGACGGGAAGGCCATTTTATCAATATGCAATCTGTGTTGAAACAGTATTATTTACACGTGGTATAAACGTAATGATTTCTACTTCTTCTGTTTACCATCAACCTATATTTGGACACCTATTTATCATTGAGTTTTCAACTGGTGCTTCGAAATTCGCTACCACCAACGGTACTTGAACGTAACACGAAATATGTGTTTGACGAATTGCATTTTATCGATGTTTAGAAGTCTGCTGCGAAAATTGTACGATGTGTGCTATAAGATTTAGTCGATAAAATAATATTTTTAACGGCGTAACATATTTTGTGTTTAATTTATGATTCACACTTATCGCTTATGATTCAGCATAAAAGTCTCATTTTAATCACCTAATGGTTTGTAAACATAGAACACATTGCAGTTTTACACGATACAGTTGTATAACATTTTATGCATTGCATATTATTTACATACTCCAGCTTCCAAGTCGTATCAAATTTCAGGCACGTCTCGGATTAATGATCAAACAATTATCGACTCAACAATTAAAACCAATGGAGAATTGTACTATTCAACGCGAAATAATCTTAAGACTGACAATTATAGTAAACATAAAATATCTATGCATAAACCTGCTGCATACGCTTTGAAAGTTCAACTATTATAGTTGGTATTTACAGTCTAGTTCAAATCGAACGGCTGTGAAAGTACATCGTGTGCACTTAGTTAAATCACGTCCGACTGATCCCCCGCTCTAGGGTCCATTTTTATGTAATACGCAAGAAGTCCTTGGGACCCGTTTACCTATTGTTGTTTTCCTACAATAATTCGATGCCTTGCAAATTTTATATTTCAATCAATTTATCCATTAAAACGTGGTCTAGACAATTCTGAAAATTGTTTTATATATGTGCACGTTTTTTTTTTTGTACATCTGCATGTGTTTTGATGAATCGTATTATAATATCTGGTGGTATGTGTATAATATCATGGTGACCTACTTCTTATCGTTGTTTTTAACCCAAACATAATAATTTTTATATTAATTCGGTGCGTAGAGTTAAAAGAACGGCTAACTCCTATGCACACAGAAAAACAAACGGCCGTCGCACACGATATCGCTGCCGTATAAAATGGCGCTCCGAAAGTGTGCGGTTACAGCGACGGGCAAATGAAAACTTCGATAGGCGAACGAGCAAACAGTACCGGTATTAAAATCATGCGCGATACGTATGAGGTATTCGCCAGAAAAACACCCGCCACCCAACAAAGAAAAATTGCGCGAGAACTATAGTACATTATATTGACCTTTATCTGGCTGTTGGTCCTCTGATGCACCGCGGACGGGGAAACCATGTATCCGTCCACGGCCATGGACTCCTTGGCGAAAATGCAACAGTCCGCCGACGTGGAATCGATCATTTTGGCCGATGTATCTCGTGAGCACGTCGCAATAACGTTGTACGTACGTCGGTGCCGGTGGAACGCGTTCGCGCTGGGCCAATGTGCGCAGGACGTGCGAGTGCCGTCGCGGGGGAGGAAACACCTGGAACGCGACGACCGTGCGTGTGGATAGATACGAGTCCTGCGCGCGGGACGAAAAAAAAAACACACCGCGGGTGTACGGGAAACGGCCGGGCGGTCTTAAAAGCTATATTTTTTCTATTCGGGCAGGATAAAAAAAAAAAACCAGGTAACCACGCCGCGTACAGTATGACGAGCAATTATTACGATAGCGCAATATTCGTGGGCATACTCTTACACGTGCGCGGAACGTTTGTGGATGAGCGCGACCGCAGCCGGTGTGTGCGCGCGCCAACGGACACTTGTTGCGACTGTCGGGCTGGCGGCCGGACCGCGATCGTATATACCGCACCGGCGACCGTCCCGGTGCAAGGAAACCGGTGCACGCGGTGTACGCGGACCGCCGCCGGAATAATAATCGTAATGAAAATATTGTTGTTGCCGCGACACGAAGCGGTTGTCCGTCGAAGAGGTGGGAACGTTCGTTCACCTTGACTGCGCCGCCGGACGATTGTCGTCGTACGCTTTTGTGTTGCGCCTATCGGTTTCGTAACCGGTTCCGTGGCGCTGGCGCTTTTCCGTGGTACACCGGGTTTTCCGACCGACGCGCCGCGCGCAGCCCACCCCGGGGTCCGTCCGTCGACGTCACGCACCAGTTTCACTTCGCAGGCTTTCTCTCTGCGCGATGGCGGATACACGGGTAGGGGGGGGGGGCTTAGCCCTCCCTGATAACCGCTTACCCCCTCAAAAAATATTTGCTGAATTTTAAGAAACATTTCTTTTTCAAATATTGAGAACATTTTCCTTATAATATTATATACCTATACAACAACGATTCATACCGAATCAGCACTCACTTTGCCAGTTAGCTCTGCAACGTGTGAGCGTAATTTTTCACCTATGCGAAGAATTAAGACATGGGTGAGAATTTCTATGCTCCAAGATCGATTTACTAATCTACTGTCTATTCTTCACGTCGAAAAAGACCTGACTAAAAGTATCTATGACTGGTTAGGTTATTATTATTTTGTTTTTTAATCAAATTTATTCATTGATATGCGTTAGATTTGATCGTGTAGGTTTACGGATAAGTGCACTCCACCTCCGCCTTCACCCGTGCTAGACCGAATCTTCACTACGTAGCACTGAACGCAACGTCGAAACGGACCAAATATTTCGTGCTGGATATCATCATACATGGTTAGATCATTCGGATTACGTAGAATCTACGATTCTGTGTATGACAAGACACCTAATGTTTAACTTCTTGTACTATGATGAATTTTTAAACAAAATTTTCGATTTATACTCGTATATTAAAAAAAATTCAAAGTTGTTAGGTTTTTAAATGTTTCACATTAAACAATTTCTATTGTGTTTTTCAATATATTTGTCCCATCTTGCCCACACCATAGGGTAAAATGAAACACAAATTCTAAACACATTTTCAAATAAGTTAATATACATACTTATTTCTAAATAATATTAGGTACCAAATATTATACAAATATAAAACAAAGTTAAATTTTACAATAAATATAATTTATTTAACAAAGCTTAAATACCCTATACAACTATACAATTTAACATTAAAATAACAAAAAAAAAAAAAACCTATTTAAAAATTAAAAATGATACTTTCTTAGTCTTAACTGTTTCATTTTTAACTTTTCATAAATACTTATAATTATAAACAATGTTCACATACGTATGTGGTGTTTTCTTCTTTGTCCTTTCCAGAACAAGACAAATGGGCCCATTTCTCGCAACTTTGACAACATATCCAGTCTTCATTTGATTCTGCATAATAATGGCCACAATAAATCCATTCTGTGAAAATATCATCTTCTTTATTCGTGTATGAATTGAGTATCTTTTTCTTCTTCCTTTTTTTTATGACAGATTTATTTTGCTTTTTTTAATAATTTCCTTTTAATTACTGATTTAATCATTCTTGTTTTTTTTCAAGTTCATTTTTTTATGGGGATTCCATAAGAACAATGGTTTTTCTTCTGGTTAAACTTTTTCTTTTAGGAATAGATGTTCCTTCGTTTAACCTTTGTGGAATAAACATGTCCCATCATGCCCCCATTAATTTGTTTCATTATGCTCCCGATAACCAATAATTTTCAATTAAACCTATACAATAAAATTCATTATATATTTTAAATATTATTGCATAATATTAAACTACAGAAGTGTATATCTATTAGTGTAAATCTATCAAAAAAAAAAAAAAAAAAAAATTGATAAGAAATAAATAACTTTCCTTACCTTAAAATGATGTTAACTTTTTTACACATTAACTGGCTAGAAAGCAAAAATTGAAAAACACTGATAATATGTAATTTCAATCAGTTAACATTTATTTCTTATTATAAACCACCTGACAAACTTCCACAAAATCATTCAAAGATGTTATATTTATAAAATTATCATTGAATATGGAGGAATCCAATTGTCCCATCTTACCCAATGTTCCTCTACATAAATGATTATAAAAGTTTTTCAATTTTCCATGATCAAACAATCGGGTATCAAACATTTTTATCGTGAAACTAAAACGAAACTCGAAAACAATGTTAAATTCGTACATTTATGAAATTAATTATGTTGCGCTTATCATAACTTTACAGTTTTATGTACGATGCTATAACTCTAAGCCGTTTTACCTAGTGTCGATAATTCAAAATACTTCCCTTCGTCAATTATTCTCAGAAATCAGCATCGTTTGACAGATGTATAGTACGTAATTTATATTCGTGTGTCACCTTCTTACATTACGTCTGGCTGCCTTTCTATATGTGAAGGAAAAAATATGAATCCTTGAATCCGAATATCTTCGAAATATCTACAACTAATTAAATAATATTAGTTTGACAAATCCGGTTAGATTCAAATGATTCGAGAAATCAAGATTAGTTAAAATCAGGTGTTTGTCCTTGTCACTTAATTCGTTAAACAAGATTCGAATATTGAATGTACAGGAACTGAAATACACTTTAAATTTATGATGTTGCTCGCACTGAGTATAATCGTCGTGTTTATAAAATTATTCTTATCGAAGATCGATATAATATACACAATGACTATTTGTTGTTCGTGGATTACAGAAATCAAATGTATTTAAATACTGATCGTAATGACAATATTTGGATCGACCCGATTAAGCGCTGCACTAAGTTTTAATGAATCTCAGACAACATTATTATACCTAATATATCATAATATGATATACATCGTATTATAATCATGTCCTTGACTACTGTATAAACTACTTCGATAACTCGGAAAGTTCATCAGCAACTGCTAACTCGCTAGCGCCACAGACAAACTTAGAAGAAAACAACATGTAACCAATTAAAATGTTGATTTTTTTTTTACCTTTAATTTTACTAGTTTTATTTTTCAAGAATACAATCTATTTTATAATTTGTTATATCAGTGTAAATTTTAAACTTTGGAAATTTAACATTCTCGCTTTAAGACTGACTTTATTCATCGATAATTTCTTCATATGAAGTTTCCTAAACGAATTCCCCTGTCCTTTTTTTATAGTTTGATCGTTAAACTCACACTTAGTCAGTAAAATTAGATAAAATCTATATATTTCAAAAAGTATAATGGAAAAATTTCATTTTTAAGTTAATATAAAAATACGACTTCTGAACAATATGGCGCCCCTGACGCAGGCACAGTTCACCTAACCTTTGCTACGACAATGTCACCTAGACCAGCGATTCTCAAACCAGGAGGTCGGCAACAATCCTTTTAGAGTTACCAATACATAAAATAACTAGGAAGGTGTTTTTGTAAGTATCCTCATGATAACCATAGTTGATAATTGCAATTGATTAAAGTTTAAATTGTCAATAAAAAACGTTATACCGGTACTAATCATATTAATTTATCAGTACTTTTCAACGTTATCATGATAAAAGGGTCTCTCAAAATCTTGGTGACGCTATAGGGGGTTTCGGCCTCAAAAAGATTGGGGTATCGTTGGCCTAGACTACCGAGAAAAAGGAAAACCTTCTCCAACGGATAGAATCGCACGTTTGTTGAAATTGTTGAATTTAATTGAACGACGGGCCAGACAGTTGACAGGTGTGCAACTCGTTTCAGAAATATGTTACGAACGACATCGCGCGTTACAAAACAGACATGGTGATTGCACCACGGTCAAAAGTAGTACAGTGGTGACTGTACGATGTGTGTTACATGTACGTAGCGCGTCAGCTGAACTTAAACAAAAAAAAACGTGTTTCCATCGTAGCTAATTGCGAAGGTCTCTTGAAAAAAATTTAAAAAAAAAAAAAAAAATAAGAATCAAAACCTCACCCGACCACACGCACACACGGGTCAATGAAAAACACTAGGTCCTTTTTTTTTTTTATGCGATAAATATGTTACATAGATACCGGTTGCGGGTTTGACATGTTAAAAATCATACGCCGGACGCGAATTCGAACTGGTCGCGCGTGACGTACGTTCTCCGCGATAGGCATAACATCACGGAATCGACGACCAGCGAATTGTTTGTCAGCCACCAGTTATTGTTTACGACACGAACGACCAATTGTATGGCCACGCAGGAACCGTTGTGTATGTTCATCGCGTACCGATTGACATTCGTACGTTTTTCGGAGGTTAACGTCGTTAACAATCACATCGATCAAACAAATAAGAATCGAATATCCAACAATATCATTGTCTCCGGCCAGCCAGCACGCGTCGTGAATAAACGTTGATCGTTTATTTGTTCGTCTCGGACGTGCGTTACAGTGCGCCGTTCGCGAAACCGTCGCAAAATCATTTCTCGGCCTTTGTTCTATTGGATTGTTTATAACACATACCGGTTTAACAGTGCCTTCGCTCTTGTGCACAATCGGTCAATCGACTGGTAGTAGTGACGCCGTACAATAATCGTAAATATAAATACAAATACGTACGATGCATTAATACCGGTTGAGGTACATGGATACGGAAAACTTGATATACTGCGATGCTCATCCAAGGTCAGGGGCGTATTAAAAAGTCAATATACGGAGGGCAAAATTATATTGCGCTTGTATGAGTATTGATAAATAAATATGGAAGTAAGAATGAGAGAAAAAACATTTTCCTAGCTAAGCGAGGACAATTAGTTCTTCGACTTCACATTTTTATTGAGTTTCCAACTTTATTGGTTGCAATTATATATTTTCGATTTACAATTACATTATGTTATAATAAAATCGAAATTAATATGACTAGCAAGAATGTAATATAATTTAGGTACCTACATCCATAAATCATAATTCATATTTTTGTATCTGTTTACATGAAAATGTATGTAAATTAATATATTAATAGTCATTACCTGTATAGTATATATACCTAA